CAAATCTCAGCCTCCTGAGAATTTAGGATTACAGGCATAAGCTACCAGCACCCAGCCTAGGAGAAATGTTATTGGGGTAGATTTTTTTCCCCATACATTGGGAAAGTCTAGCACAGTAGTCCTTCCAGTTAGCAGCACATTAACATCCCGTAGAAAACTATTAAGATCCAAAGCCTAGATCTGTTCCACTGACCTCAGACTTCCTGCAGCTGGGGTGGTGGCATCAGCAGATGATGCCAGTAAACTGTCAGGTTTGAGAATCTACAACCCAGAATATTATGCTGCAGACGTTCCTGGGATCTGCTTCAGCTGCAGACCCACGGGCATTAGTCATGGTGGGCTCTGGAGTCTGTAATCTTAACCTCTTCCCAACAGCAGATTCTTTAGCCGAGAACCTCCTCTGAGGCCAGAGGTGCTGGTCTATAGCAATGGAAGAATCCAGAGGGCTTCAAAACTCACCTAAGCCTAGGCCTGGGAGCAGTAATTTAATTGCATTGAGTAAGGCTTAGAATTTGCTTCTTTTCTTCTTTCAGTACTAAGGTTGGGGATCTCATGCTTTCTGGTCAGGTGCTCTACTGCCGAGCCACACCTGTAGTCTCTTTTCCTGCTTGTTTTTTTGCAGTGATTATTTTTGAGATAGAGCTTGCTTCTTGCCCAGGGACAATCAGCCTGTTTTAGGCTTCCCATCTCACTAAGATGACAGGTATGCACCATCATCTCAGTGTCTCCATTTGAGTTGGAGTTTGAAGGGCTTTTCTGCCTAGGCTGACTTGTAACTGTGATCTTCCCATTCTTATCTTACAAAAAAGAAGATTATAGAGAAGAGCCATTGGTACCCTGCTCAGAATTTGACTTTTAAAAAGCTCCTCAGGCTGGGCACCAGTGGCTCATGCCTGTAATACTAGCTATTCAGGAGGCTGAGATCTGAAGATCACGGTTCAAAGCCAGCCCAGGCAGGAAAGTCCATGAGACTCTTATCTCCAACTACCCATCAGAAAACCAGAAGTGGTGCTGTGGCTCAAGTGGTAAAGCGCTAACCTTGAACTGAACTGCTCAGGGATAGTGCCCAGGCCCAGAGTTCAAGCCCCAGGACCCTCAAAAAAAAAAAAAAAGCTCTTCAGGTCATTGTTGTACTGAGTTCCAGGTTGTGAAGCAAAATGGTAGTAGGTACTAGTTATGTCTCTAGTTATATCAATAGTTAATCAATGGCATAAAGTAAAAGTGAAAGAAGAAGGCAGGAGACAAACAAGGCCAGGAGAGGCTTCCCCTCTGGAACACCAAATCTGTACCGTGGTCCCCTGTAGGGAGAAGGCACCATAAGGCTACCAGATTTTTTCCAGCTCATAGTAAGCCTCTTATTTGCATATTGTTGGAATATATTTACATGTTGACTGTTAACAAGTCCTAACTATGTAAAATAAGTTTGATCTTGTCACCTGCTGCAGTTACATTCATCAGCAATGTCAGTGTAGAGCAGAAAACAAGCACAGAACAGATTTTGGAACCTTGAAGGTGGAAGAGGGAAAGGACTCAGCTGCTGGAGGGAGGAGAGAGGCTCAGGAAGCCCTTCTTCCTGAGCTGTGGCCACCATGACTGGGCTACTGACGGCCCCCTCCAGACTCGGAGTCCGCACATGCTGTGGCCTGAATCCCCGCATCTCTCCTTTATTTCAAGCAGTTTCACTGCTTTTGATCTTTTCCAATCTAGCCTATGTGTCACAGGGAGTCTTGCCGGTCCTATTTCTAGGTCTCACAGGGAGTCTTGCTGGTCCTATTTCCAGGTCTTTCTTTTGAGTGACCCTCCCTGCATCTTCTGGGAATGTTCTGTACCCTTATGGGCTGCTTCCCAGCCACTGCACACAGCCATACAAGGGCGTTCCCTGAGCAAGGCTCCTGACTAGGGGTCAGAAGAACTGACCTTCACCTTGCTCCATTCCCCAAGCCACACTGCAATAGGAGCACTAAGCACCCTTTTCTCCTATCCAGTAAAAGGATAGGAGAAAGCCTTTTTGAAATCTATATATCAAGGGCTGGGAAGGTGGCTCAGTGGTAGAATGCTTCCCTTGCATGCATGAGGCCCTGGGTTCGATTCCTCAGTACCACATAAGCAGGAAAAGCCAGAAGTGGCGCTGTGGCTCAAGTGGTAGAGCACTAGCCTTGAGCTGAAGAGTTTAGGGACAGCGCCCAGGCCCAGAGTTCAGGCTCCACAACCAAAAAAAAAAGAAGAAGAAGAAGACGAAAAAGAAAGAAATCTATATATCAAGATGGCATTGTAGGGCTGGGATGTAGCTCAGTGGCAAAGCACTTGCCTAGCAAGTACAACGTCCTGGGTTCGATCCCCAGTACCAAAAAAGAAAAGACAAAAAAATACAGTTAAAAAAAAAAGATGGCATTGTAGAAACCCTGTGTGGGGCACCCATTGGTATTCATTAACTGCTTACTAAGTGAATGAATGGATTAATGCGTGAGCAAAAGACCGGAGGGTAGGCAATGAGGACAAGTGGAGACTTTCCTGTCATTTAGGTAAAAATGAAAGAGGCTGGAAAAACAGAGTGTAAGTGTTGTATGGGTGCAAGTTGAGGAATGGAGGAACTGGTCATGGTTGGATGATGGTTCAAAGATGATGAAGGAGAAGAAAATGGAAATTAATTGCTGCTTAGTCACCAGTAATACTGACTCTTTCACCAGAATGTGGGTGAGGTGGCAGATGAGTCCTACTGACTCGATTAGGAGCACTTGGCTTTGGTTGGTTGCTGTGGTCTGAATGTGGTTTGAGTTTTTCCCCAACAGTTCATATGTTGGGAGCTTATTCCTCCATTGAAGATGTGAGTGTTGCTGGAATCTTTAAGAGATGGAGCCTAGTGGGAGGTCCCTAGGTCATGGGGGGGGGATAGGGGGATGGGGGGATGGGAAGTAGGGGGGAAGGATGCCCGTGAAAGGATTTGTGTGTTTTTAGAGGATTCCTGAATTGTTTCTGCAATTTTTTTTTTTTTGGTCAGCCATGGGGTTTGAACTTGGGGCCTGGTTGCTGTCCTTGAGCTCTTTTTGCCCAAGGCTAACATTCTACCACTTTAAGCCATAGCACCACTTCCGGTTTTTTGGTGATTGAAGGTAAGAGTTTCATGGACTTTCCTGCCGAGGCTGGCTGTGAACCTGAAATCCTTAGATTTCAGCCTCCTGAGTAGCTAGGTCTGTAGGCATGAGCTTCTTCGTGTGTATTTCATACATAGGCTGTGGACATAGTAGTGTGTGCATATAATTCTAGCATGTGGGAGGCAATGTTAGGAGACTCTCAGGTCCAAAGTCAGCCTAGGCTAATAGTAAGGCCCTGTCTAAACTAAACAAAATCCAAAAAGGAATTGTCTTAATATCTTTTTCTAGTTTGTCTACCATCAGGTGTTTCCCAGAGAGTTTCTACCAATTTGTTTTTTTCTTTTGGGAAATATTTTCCTAATTTTATGGTTTTTATGATCTTATCTTGTGGTTGTTCAAAATTAAGCCTTTGGATCTAAAAATCATGTAGCTGGGTCTAACTGTGAGAGCTGACTTGCTCTTCTTTGATCAAATGTTATGATCTAAAGCACCATTTCTGCTGGACAGACTTGTAGTGAGCTGAAAGTACAGTGGGAGAAGGTTTGTAGTGAGCTGAAAGTACAGTGAGAAAAAGGAGGAGTGGACATAGTTTAGAGCAGGCAGGGGCTATGATTAATAATGGAGCTGCTCCTGCTCTGCACACATCCATACCAGGCAGCTAAAGTCTTTCTGACTGGCTAAGGTTTCCCTGTATGTCACTGCCTTCTGTAAATCTTCTCACAAATCTGCAGAATGATGAAGAGGGGAAGCTTCTAATGAACGTGTCTTTAATTACTAAGCTAGATGTGGTCTTCCATCCAGTTCTTTTTACTCAGTTAAGATGAGCCAGCGTATCCATCTTTTCTTAAAACTAGACTTGAATACTGTTTTTTCTACTGTAAAAGGTGCATTGGCAGAGAGAGAGGCCCATATTCTAATGCCAGCATCATTTGTTGATTTTCTGTCTTTATGTGTATGTAACTGTAGACAGTACAGTTGAACATCTCTAATCTGAAAAAATCTGAAATCTAAATTTTTTTTAAATTTAAAACTTTTTGAAAGTACTGTACCTGAATTTATGTGCTAGGTTACAGTGAAAACACAGGGGCAAACCAAGCATGGTAGGACAGGACTATAATCCTGGCCCTCAGGAGGAAGGAAAATCTCCTGAGCTATTGAGTGAGACTCTATTTCAAAAACCATAGGCTAAGGATATAGATTAGCGGTAGAGCGCTTGCCTAGTATATAGAAAGCCCTGGGTTCACTCCCTTGTGTTACAAAAAAATAATGGCAAAAAATTACCTTCAGGCTATGTGTATGTAAAACAGAAATGAATTTTATATTCAGACTTGAGTGTCATCCTCCGGATGTCTCATTAAGTATATACAAAATTTTCCAAATTTAAAAACATCTCAAGTCCCAAACATTTCTATTCTCAAACATTTTTGCTAAGAAATACTCAACCCGTATTAGTGGTTAGTAACGTTTGAATATACCTTTTTCATCTCTTTCTCCACGGGAGCTATCTGCACAATATATTGATACTGGAAGTCGTTTTCCAGGAAGAAATAGGTACTCCATTCTCCTTCTCTCAGAAGATAATGCCAGTAAACAGTGCTGTCTATTTTTTAAATTTCAGCCCAAATGACATTTTGTTTCTTGATTACTTTTGTTATGATTATTTTCTTGGTTTCTATGTGAGCTTGTGTTCTGCTATAATTTAGAAAGATTATTTGTGTGTCCTATTTTTCATTAAAATCAGGTTTTTGCAGGGAGGAGGCTAGTATCATGGCTTCAGTGGGAAAATGCCTGCCTAGCAAGTGTGAGGAGCTCTTGAGTTCAAAACCCCAGTATCTTAAATTTTTTTTTTCACAAGTTTGTAAATAGAGAAATTGTATTTGGGACTAACCCCAGTTGTGTCTCCTGCAGGACAGCCTCCCTGGCCGCTGGTGCCTGCAGGCGCGGCTACAGCCTCTGGCCCAATCGCAAGTACATTCCTCGGAGGGCAGTACTCTATGTCCCTGGGAATGATGAAAAGAAAATAAGGAAGATTCCAAAGCTGGAAGTAGATTGTGCTGTGCTCGATTGTGAGGATGGTGTTGCTGTGAATAAAAAGGTAATGGCGTGGCTTTCAGAGGGGAAGAGAAACAGAAATCTCCTATTCTTGGGAGTGGATTTCTTACTATTTGGAAGGAATCTGCTACACTCATCTTCTGCTGATTGCTAATATGTTTTGGATCCAGCCCTTGTATGAGTTCTCATTGTGTGTCTTTTCTCCCAGAGAAAGAATTTAACCTATATATATATATATTTTTTTTTTTAATTTATTTTTTTGGGTCTGGTCGTGGGGCCTGAACTCCGGGCCTGGGCCCTGTCCCTCAGCTCTTAGGCTCAAGGCTAGTGCTCTACCACTTGAGCCACAGCGCCACTTCCGGCTTTTTTCTTTTTGCTTATGTGGTGCTGAGGAATTGAACCCAGGGCTTCATTCATGCAAGGCAAGCGTTCTACCACTGAGCCGCCTTCCCAGCCCCCCAAAATATATTTAAAGTTATGACATTCAGTAAATGTAATTGCCATGTGGATAGGCTGAGCCACAGTGTTCCGGGAGGAAGTTCTCATTTTCCTTCTTAAAGGGAAACCCCACACAGACCCTTTGGATTACATGTAGCTTTTGGCTGATTTCCTCATGGTCTGGTTAAAGCAGTAAGTCTTGGAAAGTTCCTAGTCTTTGAATAGGTACAAAAGTTTCTTTTTTTCTCTTTGTCTCTCTCTCTCTCTCATTTGGCTTCTAAAACAGTATATTTTTTATTGTTATTATAAAGATGATGTGCAGAGGGTTTGCAGTTATATAAGTTAGTTAATGAGTACAATTCTTTGAACAATGTCACCTCTTTCTCTCAGTTTTTCCCTCCTGACCTCTCTCCCCTACAAGTTGTATAGTTCATTTTCATGGTAGTATCTAGTGAGTATCACTGCTGCATTTGTTCATCCTTTGTCCTACCATTTCTGTGCTCCCCCTTATCCTCCTCAAACAGATAAACTCACGTATAAGACAGAAGGTACAGAAATAAAAAAACAGCAACAAAGGAGACAAAAAAAACTCCAAAGAACAAAAAGCAAAATACCATAAAACCTTTTGTTTCTATTGCTTGGAGTTTATTTCAATAAATATCATTTTATGTGATCATATGCATATAGCTGTTGAGCCTTTGTGATCCTCTTCTAAGAATATCCCTCTTCGGTCTCACTGTGAGAATATCTAGAATCCTGTATAATTTATCATGTCCAAGTATATTTTTTCTTCGTCTTTTACTATCAAGTGTGTTTGCTTATATATTTGTAGGCATATTCTAGTTATAACAAATGAGGGAAACAATGCAACCTATGTTTCTTTGGGTCTGGCTTACTTTACTATAATTTTTTCCAATTCTTTCTATGTTCTTATGAATGGTACAATGTCATTCTTTCTGATGGAAGCATAGAATTTCATTGTGTATATATACCACATCTTCTTGATCCATTTGTCTGCTAAGGAGCATCTGGGTTGATTGCATATCTTGGCTTTGGTTAACAATTTCTGCAGTGAACATGGTTGTGCTGGTAACTTTAGTGTGGCCTTGTTTGTGGTCTCTATTGGATAAATGCCCGGGTGTGGAATTGCTGGATTATAGGGAAGCTCTATGTTTAGTCTTTTGAGAAACCTGCTTTCCAGAATAGTTGAACAAGTTTACATTGCCACCAACAGTGTAGTAGCATTCCTTTTTGGCCACATCCCTGTTATTGTTAGTTTTCTTCATAATGGCCATTCTAACTGGGTGAGGTAGAATCTCAATGTTGTTTTGATTTGTATTTCTTTTATGGCCAGAGATGTTGAACATTTCTTCATGTGTCTATTGGTCATTCTTTCTTCTTCTGAGAAGTCTCTCTTTATGCCTTTAGCCCAGTTATTAATTAGACTATGATTTATTTGAGGATTTATTTGGGGAGAGGTTAATTTTTTGAGCTCAAAGTATATTTTAGATATGAGACCCTTATCTAATGCATAGCTAGTAAAAAATCTTCTCCCATTCTGTAGGCTTTCTGTTTATCTTGCTAGCTATGTCATTTGCCATGCCGACACTCTTCAGTTTGATGCAATCCCATTTATCCAATCTTCCTTTGATTTATTGTGATTCTGGATCTTCACTTAGGAAGTTTTGACCTATACCTAGGAATCCTACCTCTTCCCCTAATATTTTAATGGTATCTGGCCTTACATTGAGATCTTTGATCATTTGGAATTGATCTGGTACAGTGTGCTATATAAGGATCTAGCTTCAGTTTTCTGTGTGTTTATAGCCAATTCTGCCAGCACCATTTGTTGAAGAGGCTGTCTTTCTTCCATCATGTGTATTTGGCTCCCTTATCAAATATTAGGTGGCTATAGGTCTATGGGTTCATTTCTGAGTCTCTATTCTGTTTTATCAGTCCTCAGGCCTATTCTTGAACCAGTACCAAGTTGTTTTTATTACTATGGCTTTGTAATAGAGTGTGAAGTTTGGTATTGATATTCCTCTGACATTGTTCTTCCTGCTAAGAATTGTTTTTGCTATTCGGGGTCTTTTATTATTCCATATGAATTTTTGGATTGTTTTCTCTATATCGTTGAAGAATGTTTGTGGGATTTTAATGGGTATTGCATTGAATTTTAGGTAGCTTTGGGCAGTATTGCTCTTTCATGATATTAATCCTTCCAAACCAGGAACATGGGAGGTTTTTCCATTTTTCTTAAATCTGCTTTAATTTCTTTTTTCAGATTTTTAAAGTTTTGATCATAGAGATCTTTCACATCTTTAGTTAATTCCTAGGTTTTTTTTTTTTTTGAGGCTATCACAGATGGAGTTGTTTTCCTGATTTCATTATTGCTCTTCTCGTTGTTGGCATACAGAAAAGGTATTGATTTTTGAGGGTTGATTTTATACCCTACTACCTTGCTAAAGTTTTGGATCAGCTCAAGTAACTTAGGGGAGGAATTTATAGGGTTCTTTAAATACAGGACCATGTCATTTGCAAAGAGGGATAGTTTTGCTTCTTTTTTCCCAACTTGGATCCCCTTTATGTATTTTTCTCACCTTATTTCTTGTGCTAGGAATTCCAGTACTATATTGAAGAGGAGTAGAAAGAGTGGACATCTTTATCTTGTTCCTGATTTTAGAAGAAATGTTTTTAACTTTTCACAAAATATAATGCTGGCTGTAGGTTTGTCATATATATTATTATATTGAGAAATGGTCCATGGATTCCTATTTCTCCAGAGCTTGTATCATAAAGGAGTGTTGAATCTTGTCAAATGCTTTTTCTACATCTTTTGAGATGATCATATGGTTCTTGTCTTTGCTTCTGTTGATATGTTAATTATATTAATTGACTTACATATATTGAACCCTGGAATAAATCCTGTTTAATCATAGCGTAAGATGTTTTTGGTTAGTTGTTGAATTCAGTTGGTCAGAATTTTTTGTCAGTCATGGGGCTTGAACTAAGGGCCTGAGTGCTGTCCCTGAGCTCTTTTTGCTCAAGGCTAGTGCTCTACCTCTTTGAGTACCAGTTCTGCTTCTGGTTTTCTGGTGGTTAACTGCAGATAAGAGTCTTACAGACTTTCCTGCCAAGGCTATCTTTGAACCATGATACTCAGATCTCAGCCTCCTGAGTAGGTAGAATTACAGACATGAGCCACAGTGCCTGGCTAATTGACTAGAATTTTTTTTTTCTTCTTTTGGTCGGTCATAGGCCTGAACTCTGGGCCTGGGCACTGTCCCTTAGCTCTTCAGCTTAAGGCTAGCGCCCTACCACTTGAGCCACAGCGCCACTTCCGGCTTTTCTGTTTATGTGGTGCTGAGGAATCGAACCCAGGGCCTCATGCTTGCGAGGCAAGCATTCTACCATTGAGCCACTTTCCAGCCCTATTGGCCAGAATTTTATTGAGAAGTTTTGCGTTGACGTTCATAAAAAAAAAAAAAAATGGGTCTATTGATCTATCTGGTTTTTGGATGAGGGTCATGCTGACTTCATAGAATAAGTTTGGCAGTGATTTGAGACAGCCTTGATATGAAGCTAAGGCTGCTCTCAATGCATCCTCTTGCTTCTGCCTCCTCAGTGCTGGGAGTATTGGCATGTACCACTGTACCCAGGCACATGAGGGTCTTATTTGGTGGTTGTCTGTGGATGTAGTTGGTTCCATTTTGCTTTGCTTAACTTTGTTTTCTGGATTTTTATAATGAACATGGATTTGTTTAATGACTAGGGGAAATATGTAAGACTTCATAATAATAATTTATGTTTTAATGAAATCTGTTGGTAAGACACACTTTCACCTTTGTCTGTCCTGTCTCTGGACAGTGAAGGTCAGCTGGGAATGGATTGTGGGGCTGGTGGGTAGAGAGATCTGGCCATCTGGACTCCTGCCTATCTGGTTGCCTCTAGCTCCAGACGATCTGAAATAACCTGATTGTACTGTATGGCTTTCTAGATTAATTGCTTTCCTCAGAGATTCCAGAAAACAAATATTTTCCTTAATTTAAAAAATAAAGCTAATTTTCACATCTTCCCACTGGAGAACCCAAGGCTTTCTAAGTATTTAGAAAAGGATTAGAATAAGCATAGGGAATCTAAAATGTCTGCAACATCTTTGACATGTGCAAAGAAAATATAATTAATCTTCTTTCTCCCAGAGGTAAAACTAAATAGGCCTTCTTTTTCTTTCCTTCTTGAAGGCTGTAATGTGATTCTGGTATGATTCCTCCTGAAATTTATGTAGTATGCTTTAAGATTAGATAGTAAATTGTAATTCCAGTTCTCTGTGACCTAGGGCAAGTCACCTTACTTCTTTGCCTCACTTTCTTATCTGTACTTCAGGGATGACAATATCTTCTTTTGTCAGGGACAGGGATTATTACCAAGGGAAAGTTGATAAAGTGCCTGGGAGTAGCTTGATTTCCTATAAAAAGCAGATTAGATAAAGCTTCTAGCAATCAAGATTATAGGGGAATTTTTTTCAGCACTGTAGCACAGTGAGCCATTAGGTACCCAGATAAAGTTCTAATTATATTTCATTGCAAGTCTTCAGGCTATCCTCTG